TGACAATACACCTTTTAGGGAGACACTACGGATTAGATCCATAATGTCACCTTAGTACGCCAATGATGCTGAGTAAGCACAGATTGTGCTTGATCAACTTCTTTCTCCTCAGTGCGCCCGGGGAATGACTGATATAAACCCAGAAGTGACAAAAGCTTTGTGGCTTGCATTGCATTCCATGGAGGAGAGATTAATGAACAAATGTTTGCTGGTCTCCCTTCTTACACCCCCCATGTTGGGCCTGTGTGCATATCACAGACTGGAAGTGATGGGGTAGCTTTCCATGGTGCTCGTGCCAGTCCCTCTGCACCATGGAAAGACTTAACACTGTGTGAAAATTTTGAGGCACCCTGAGGAAGACAAAAGCCACCCCTAGGTGCTGTGTTATCCAGGCTGGGAAAGGCTGAACCAAAGGTTCTTATGTTTAGTGCTAGATCATATTTACATTGGTTACATGGAGAACAACTGTTAGAGGTTGTGCTCTCTCCTCCACCCATTGTTAGTGATATTAAAGCCTCCTTTTAAAAAAAATATATATGTCCTGCAAGAAGACCCACCTTTGATTGAGGCTCTTGCAGTTTTGAATTCCTCGTTTTTAAGTGGGGCCCAGCAGCAATCCCCCGCCCCCTGCACGAGTGCCTCTGTCGGCTAATGGAGGCACCCGTGTGCGCTTGTGCCTGCAGTGGCTGTGTGCATCCATAGACACAGCCTTGTGGCAGGCCACGCCCCTCCTCTCCGCCCAACAGTTTGATGGCAGAAAAAGCCTATGGCTCCTTTGCCATCAGTATTCTCCCCCTGCAACCAGGAACGGAGGATCGATTCGGGACCGGCGGCGGAGATGAGCGGCGCTGACAGGTAAGTGTAAGGGGGACTGGGGGAAAAAAGGTACTGGACCGGTTTTACCGTAATGCATAGAATGCATTAATGTAAAAAATGCCCAGACCTTAATACTACTTTAAGGTGTACGTTTAATAAACTGTGAAAGAGTGTGATAAGCAGTGAGAAGGCTTTTCTTACCTTAGCAAAGTGAAAAGGCTAGAAAATGGTGTTTAATAACCCGTGATAAGTCAGGTAGGAACTGAAATATCTCACCTCAGAAAGTAATGGGAATGTACCTGTTTAATAAAGGGAGAAAGGTAGAGAACAGCTTTATCACTGGATAAGTATTGTGAAAAGTGCCCTTGATTTAGCACCCTGTCAGACCTTGTAATAGGGGCCTTTTTCTCGAGAAGCACTGAGCAAAGATACAGGAACTTGTCATAAACCTAGTTCCTTTAGGAACCTTCAGGAACAGTTAAAATAAAGCACAGATGCTTCTCTTCTGGATTTCTGACATTTTGGGACATTTATGCCGGTAGCAATGGCTGCCCAGCCATTGCTACTGGCTACTGCTGATTGAAGCCCGTGACACACTGCAGGCGATTATATAGATAGATATAGATAGATCTATCTATCTCTATCTATCCATCTATCTATGTATATAGATAGATGGATAGATAGAGATAGATATATATATCCATCTATCTATAT